ATTGATTAGATACCCTCCTATCTGAACATGTCTTGTTGCATAAATAAAGAACCAATTTTCTGGCTCAAAATCTATTTCAAAAAATTTTTCAAGGTGAGTAGGTTTTTATGCTGTCATTTTCCTGGCTTCTTGAAATCATTAATAACAAAAACTACATAGATTTATCTGAGTTATTTTAAGAAATACTGTTGTTTCCTGCAGAATACAAACGTCTTCGGCCAAAATATTAAATTAAAGTAAAGTTATATGCCATAAAATGGCGAATTTGTCATTATCCTGGCTTATGAATGCCAGGACATTGAAGTGTTACAAGAAATTCTTTTTAACTGCTAATACTGTAATGAAGGAAAGCAAATATTAACCTAATACCAAGTTTATGAATGATTGTAATATGCTTGGATGTAATCAAAGTTATATGTTTATTTAATGATTGATTATTATACACAATTTTATTCTCATACCAGCAACAAAAGTTTTTTTGTTTCTTTCTACAGTGGATAAAAATAATTAATTTAAGCAATTTATGGTCCATCTAACATAAAGGCTTAAGTTGAGTTATTTATTATTAACTTAAAATGACTGTTTTTTAAACTTCTAAGGTAATGTGTCATTTTCCTGGCATTCAAGATTTGGTGAATTTCTATTTTATTTTTTTTCTCGAGCAAATGTCAATAAAGTACACTACTGTCTATTCGATATTATTAAGTGTAGCTAAAGAAGTATACAAAAAAAATTTAATTATTTTGAGGACTTTAAATTTGAAGAAATTTTTTGGTCAGAATTGTCATGCTTCGTGAAAATCACCCATATATATACATATATACCCACATCTGATTGTTCTAATTTTAATATGAATTTTATGAAATTTTGTGGATACCATTTAATGCTATAATTTATGCACTAAATTGGCACCATTTTTTCTAACTAATTAAATAAAATTATCAACAATGCTTTTAAAGAAGTTTTTTCTTGTATTATCACTAATAGTCAACCGAGTTTAGAATTTAATAAACAAAATAAAATTAATCCTGCAGCGACTGATGATTTCCGGCATCTCTTCAATAGCATTCCCCTTTTTAAGCTAAAAGATATTTTTTTGAGTTATTAATATGATTTTAATAATATACTCAATTTCCGATTTTGAATATTGGGAAATTCTAATTAATATTTGTCTTTTTAATAATTATCTTTACAAAACATAACTTTATTCAAATTGATGGAATACCGCAAGGATCTATTTTTTCATCTCTCTTAGCTAACATACATTTACGCTATTATGAAGAAAAAAATGCACTCTTAATATTAAATTTGTCTTTAGATTTATTCATGATTTAATTATCTTTTATAATTTTGATGATTTAATTATCTTTGCAACTTTATTAACTATAAAATTTAAATTATCCCGTATAATATTATTAATTTGTGCGCATTCATTTTCGAGCCAATCCAATGTAACTGACAAATCAAATTCGCTTCAGTGCTGCAGAAAAACGCGCCATAAAAGATCCCTCTACTTACTCTTCTAACCTTTATTTATGTTCCTATTTTTTATCTTCAAATTAATTTGTGCGATTAATTAATTTGTGGGAATTGTTAATGTTTGTGTTGAACCACTTACTTTTTTTGTGAAGCTATGCACAAGATCTACGTTTTTATAGAATTGTCTACCGGATGAAGTTATTCTAAATATGAAATCTGGATAAAGCCAAGGCTTTAAGATGCGGACTAAGAATATAGCCCCAATTCTAAAGAGGAAAGAAAAAAAGAACAATTAAAAAGTAGATAAACATTACAGAATTTTTTTAAAATAAAAATTTCTTTTGACTTTTTAGCATTAGATTGATAGAATGTATAGTCGCCAGTTCTTTCAGAATATTTTGACTGTTGAAGATACGAAATTTATCAGCTGTACTATTACTTGCTAGAGATTGGAGAGCAGTCATAGAATCAGAAAGGATTACAGCTTTATTAAAGGTATTTTTCGTATCAGCAATTGCAACAGAGCAATATATGTAGCTTAAATATCACCGTCAATATAAGAGAGATGAGCACCAACAATTATAATTACATCTCCCCGTTATACATCAGAGAACCATTAGTATGTATACACGTGTGTCCAAATTTCTGATGGGTGTTGGTTCTCGATTGTTGATAAAGCGATTATTACTGTCTGAAGGAGGTGACAAGGAGGTTTTGCTGACAAGGAGGTTGAAGTTTAAACGAACGTACAAATCCAACAATTTTAGGGGATTCGGGACGGGTGAGAAGATAGACGTCTATTTCTGGAATTCCAGTTTTTCCATTTAGTCCCAAGCCTACTGTCGAAAACTTTTCTGTGTTTTAAGTTTTTGCAGTTTATAATACTGTAATCTTTTTTAAAAGCATCTCCAGGCAATCATCATTGATTTATTGTCGAAAATTGTAATATTCTCTTGAGTACTTTTTCAGAAATAGAATCAGGTTAACTGATGTATGACTTGACAGGTCTTGATTTCACTGCCCCTGTGATCGGACGAAAAGCCTAATTTTGGATGGTATCCAATTTATGTATGATGGTACTAGTGGCTATGATTAGAGTTTCATTAAAGTGCAAAAGACTGTATAAGCATTTTCTAGGTGATGAGAACGACTGTAACCCCTTAAAATAACGATTGCAACAACCCCTTGAAATAACGAATTAAACGATTACAAAATTTGCTTCCGCCAGTCGCTCCCCTTAGCGATCGGCTAATTCCAAGAAAACGGTCATAAAAGTGCCTATTTTTTTATCCCTGTATCACTGATTAGTGCTGACATCTAGTTTAAAATAAACTAACTATCTACAATTATATACTGGTACTGCCACATGGTGTGTAAAATGAGAAATAAAACGTTTTCCGGGCAAAAGATATGAATTAGTTTTATTCTTATTGGAGAGTGACTACCGAACACTCCAGCCCAGAAATATCACGGGAGCGAGAAATAGAGGGCGAAATCTCACCCCGTCATTTTCACGGGAGCGAGAAGGAAGGGTTTAAAAAAGAAAATCTGGATTCGATGTAGATGCATACGATTTATATACAGCCAGGCGAGCTCCGATTATCATGCCTCTTTTAAGGTCAGAGAGGTCGGAAATAATCTCGTTTTGCTAGAAATAGATTTTTTTCATGCAAATCTCACACTGCCGAATGCTAGACAGATGCCTTGCCTTTCATCTCAACTAGGAGGCACATACCCGCCGCTTATTGGACGGTCAAGAGCGACTCCATTCTTTCACAGGCGTTCCTATTATTTTGTTCTATACCTGCACGTCTACACACCACAGTAACGACACAACTCTATCACTCCGACTAAATATGTATATACTAGTATTTCGCTTTTTTGTAATTATTCCCTCAGCTGTAAATATGCAAATTATTAATTTTTCGATTATGTAAGCATTTTATGTTATTCCTATATTATTCGGACTTCTTGTATTCGTATTTGTATTTTATCAATTATTATTCGGATCCTTTTTTTTCGTATATATCTTTCTCATTTTACTGTACTGTATTTTAATTACTCGACCTCATACGTCCGTTGCTTTTGGTAAATAATTCTTAGATGAAGAGGCAGGTACCTCGATCAATATGCTTACATTAAAGCATTGAGAGGCACAACTCTAACGCCACCACTGAACAGCAGAACTGTTTTAACGCTCAGCTGTTTAAAATACAGCTTTTCATAAATGAAGGTTGACATTGTCGATAGCTACCATCCCCACATTGGTGACCTTCGGACGTGATGTGAACACGCCTAGCTTGGCAGTAACGCCCACCTCATATGAACACGCCTATCTTGACAGTAACGCCCACTTCGCTGGATGATCCACATTGAACAGTTGACTTGCTACTTGTAACTGCGCACATTATCCACCTCCTCGCGCTGTTGCTACTCTGTCTCGATTAAACACAACGTCGGCTGACATACACTCGACTGTTTAAGGCAACACAGAAACGGCCACTACCGTGAACTTAATACAGCTCTCACTACCAGCACTCAAAAAGTACGGTGATCTTAATACAGCTCTCCCGGCTTCTCACAAAACAGCATCAAATCAACTAGTGGTATCCGTTCATCGAATTCTATCACAGATATAATTCTGGTGGGGGAGTACTGTAGGGTATCTACCACTTCAAAATTACAATTCACTAGTACATAAAAGGTGTTAACTCGACTCTATGTCGGGGTACCTTTTCATAGATGAAGGTTGGCATTGTCGATAACTACCATCCCCACAGGCTTATTAAGTGTAGAATCTGTAACAGCTAAATGTTGTGAAATACCTCATCAACAACTGTGGCTTAATCTCTTGATAAGTAAAAAATATGTACAAACATGATAAGAGTCATAATTGAATGATTGGAACTGGAAAAGTAACTGTTGCCAATTAACAAACAAAAATTTAAGTGAACAATGGGTTAAAACTTACTCATGAATTGCATTAACATATTCTTTGCTTTCACCCATTTGGGCATTAATTCTTACACCCATAGCAGTCTCTGAAATAAAAGTTTCAATAATTGTGTAAGTACTAAGCATTTTTTGAAAATTATAAAGACAATATACGCCTCAAATGTACAACTTAAAATGATTTACAAAATTGTGGTAACATTTAATAAAACTACAGGGAATATTTAATTTTTACTCACACTATGTTACTAAAACTGTAAAAATATTCTGTAAAAATAAATTTTTAAACTTCGGAAATAATTCTTGTGTTGGTGAAATGTAGTGAACGAAAATAAGTTTTTTCCCTACTCCTTATTTCAACCGCATGTGAGATTCTGTATCTGAAGCCTTTAACAAGAAGTTCAATGGATCGAGCAAGATGGCCCAATTTGTTGCTTCCAGGAAAAACCCAACTTTGGCCTTTGGATTTTTTTCTGTTCTGGTCATAAACTAAAAACATTATGAGCGCAGTTAATGATATAAGAACACAGTTAATGATTAAAAAAAACTGAATTGTAGCAGCAAGTCATATTTAATGGATGTTTTCCAAGACAGGGAAAGGTAAGTTTTATAAATTTTGTTCAAGAGTCAAAAACGACTATACCACGCCCAAAATAATGTCGAAATTTAAAGTCTGGTTAAAATATTTTCAAAATATTGCTGTCTTTAAGATATTCAATAAAGGTTTGATGTCACGCATTTAAGTTAATGGATCAGGATAATGGCAGTTAAAAAAACGGCGTACCTGAAGTTGTATAGTGTGTTGGTTAATGATCTTTTAAATTCGAGGAATGAATGTATGAAATGCAAAGAAGGGACCATATTGCAATAGAGAATAAGAAGAATGAAAAGGTCCAATTCGGGGCATCGGATGTGCCTTGACCCTGAGACAAGATTTTGCTGAGGGGCGAAATTTGAAGAGAGAGAGAGAGGAGTGTGTCGAACAAATAATTTTTCAGGCAACATCACTTACCACATATAACATCAAGAGTGCAAGAAGAAATAAAAGGAACAATATCAATCCATGAATCTTTCTCAAGGTCACGTAGTCGTGAGACAAGAATATGTGAGTGGTCGGAAATTATAGGTAAAAAATCTTCTAATATTCGAAAGTGAAAAGTCGGGGTCAATAGTTTTCTTCTGTAACGCCACTTTTTACCAGAGCTGAAAATAAAAAATACTAAATGAGTAGCTAAAATCAATAACATACAATGTGCTGATGTGCCATAGAATGGGTCATGGTGCTAAGTTCAAAACAGGACATTGATTGGGTGATGACAATAGCTGACGTAAATTATTATTATGGTAAATATCGATATGTGGAATTTGAAGGAACCAAAGATTTGTTCTAGCGATTTCTTGATTTTAGTTTAGTATTATCTTGTTAATGCAATTTTTTTTTTCAATGCGCATAACTCTGCATATCTTTATATAAACTAAGATAACGGGTTATGCATTTTAGTGCTAATTCGTCTGAGCAGTGAGCAAAAAATACGTACAGTGAGCTAGAAAAAAAAGACACAACTCTACTTAACTTTGATTAAAAAATTAAAAATACGACTTTTTGAAACTTTTTTTAGCAAACTATTTGACCAATTTAGTTCAAATTTTATATTTTGTCATTTAATATTACTATATTCTACTATTGAGTTGAAGAAAATGTAAAAATGCATGTCTTACAATTCCGATGTTTTCAAAAATTATTAAGTAAAACAATAAAAATAATTCATTAAAAACTACTTTTTCTATGAAACTATCTTTTGGTAACGAAGTAAGCGTAAGAATTGTTTGAATTGCTCATTAAAGTCTAGATACACAGCCAAAAAGTAAAGAAAAAAAGAAAAATTAACACAAGGAATTCCATATCCTTACAACTGCTTCGCCTAACTGGACTATAAGATCCATATTTTCCAAATAACGGCTACCTTATATAGATAGTTAAAAATTAAACTTCGTCTAAAAAGGTATGCTTGTTTGGAGAAAGTATGTTTTTGCGTTTGATTCCGTATTTTAATTTATAGTAAGCACATTTAATTTATAGTAAGCACATTTATCATATTGGAGAGTAATCCTTTGAACCATTAAGATTTGTTTTTCATACATGAAAAAGCAAAGACGAGTTAGTTGGTCGCGGTAGGCGGGGCAACATTGCTTTTCCAGTTAAATGCATTTAAATGCAGGCTTAGTCCAGTTAAATGCAGGCTTAGTAATCCTTTCGTTACGAGTGTCGTATTTCGCCAGAATCTACGCGATGCCCTTTGTATACGAGCGCTGCATGTAGCGTCGTCAGCGCAACAACGTTTGACAAGCGGCCCACTCTGTTTCAAATTGCCACAGGCTAAAATTCCATTGATCTATATTGGATTAATATCACTAAAAGTATATTTTGACTGCGTATAATATGTTTTATAAGTCGATAGCATATTTATTTATAATGCTTACACAACTTTTAAAATATATTGTAATGTAACTATTGCATAAAAAAAGCCATTCATCTTACCGACATGTAATCAGCTCATATCGTTTCGCGGTGTTCCTTTCAATTGCGTCACTTCAGCGGAGTGAACTGCCGTAACGAAAGGGTTAAGCACGGAGTTTAGTGGTGCCAGAGCCAATGGTACAATGCATTGAAATGAATGTGGGGCTTAGCGTGACATTAACGAGGCTGCCGAGTATTAATCTTTTCGCAAAATATTTTAGAGATTGGTTGACAAAAATAAAAGCTTTCAACATTTTTGGTATTTTTGACAGCATTTTAAAAGCCTCGTCAACAGTTGAATTATTTACATGCATTGGGATGGAAAATAAATTTAAAACAAATTTTGAAAAGCAATGAATCCTACATTAAGATACAAACTTAACTACCACAGGAAGAATTTTTTGCAAAAAGCTAAGAAAGTTGGCAGCCATACATTAATGATTCTCATTTTAATGATTTAAATGAAATTTTTTATAGCAACTAAGTCCAAAAAAAAAAAAAAAACCATGCTACGCCAAACAAAAGGTTTCAAAACAGGAAATAAACTGATACATATTTATTTTCATAAAATATATTCTCACAACATTAAAAAAAATAATAATAACAACAGCTAGAAGAACTTAACCCGCAACAGACATTTTAAGAAGATTTTAAATAGAATAATTCGTTACATAGAGTGGGATTGTCTAGGGGATCTAGTAGAACAAAACTTGAAAATCATCATTAATAAGATTGATAAAAATTAAAATTCGAAATATTATAGAATAATGTTTTAAATATAAGGAATTAGTGAGATTTACCTAGTAATAAGACCAGTTCCAAGCCATGGGTGCAAAAAGTTATATGCCGCAGCTTTATCAATATTAGTATTACTACTTAACACAACCTAAGGGAGAAAAACCTCTTATGATTCATTCAAACGATATATATATATATATATATATATATATGACATGAGCCGTGGCTTTTCATTAATCATTATTTTGTGGGTTCCAATTTTCGTAGTCATATTTTAATTATTTTTAATATCCTTTTCTATAAGGATGACAACATAATGAATTTTCTATGCTATTATTGAGAAAAGAATAAAGAAATCTATTTACAATTTATATACAAACGGAGCAGAAGCTCCGGGACACATCTTTACCGTTTCATTTCCAAAATATAAGTGTACACTTTTTTAACGTAACATATGTTCATGTCATGTGATCTATGAAATCCAGATGTTAGAACCGACGTCTGGAAGATCTTAAGACCAGATGGAGATGAACTAATATCTCAACATAGTCTTGATTTTAATGGGAATTTGGCATCTTTAAGATATTTTTCTGCGCTGTGTGGATTCATTTTACAAATAAAGATTTCATCGCTATTCAACGGAACTTACTATATACGCGAAGGGCTAAGTTAAGTACTTGAAAGAGAAATTTAATGTTCTCAGAAACCAGATAAGCTTATCTGCAGATAGATATAATTCTTTTTGAGTTTAGTCTGAAAAGATATTTATTATATATTTATATATATAAAAATATATAGATGAAAATTTTTAGCATATAAACATTTGTGCCCAGAGAGCAAAGGAAAATGAATAAATGAAGATAGAAAATTCATCTCAAGTCTTCAAAAACTATTTCGTGACTCTCCAAGTATTCGCCAATTTTGTGGTACGAAATCTGATCTTGCAATGTTTTGCAATAAATAACATGTAATGCTTTGCAATTTTTTCTAATGTTCGCGCAATTACAGGAAACAGTTGAAATAATGGGAACATAAAAGAGCTCAGAATTTTTAGATTTTGATTTCTGAGTTGGCGTAGGGTTTAATGGTATAAGATTCAAAAACGGACATGCTCACATACCGATGCTGAAGGTGCCAAAGTATTGTTAAATTTCAAATTATGTTAAAACATTAAATAAGACAATAGCTATTAATTAAATAAGTGATAGTAATTAAAAAAGTAGTGAAGGCTGAGTTGAGATAATTTCATTTAAACGAATTAGCTTTTATGTAACGAAAGATTATAAATAATAGGCATTGAAATAAATAATACATTCAAATCTATGTCTAAGTGAGTTTGAAAATTAATTACATATTCTTTTTAACCTCTTATTTTCCCGTCAGACATAATTTATATCCTAATCTATTTAATTTTTTAGTATATACAGCAATGTTTCGACTTGATGCATTATAACCCAGCTATTAAATTAATTGAGAAATTGAACTTTACTTTCCACAAGAAAAGAAATATTGATAAACAACATTTAATTAATAGGTAATAGGAAAAACAGCATGCATAAATTTCTTAAAAATGAAAATGTAAGTTAAATAAATGCTAAAATCAAAATTGTAATAAAGTATGGCTATGAACACGTGGCATTATGAAACGTCCCTAATATCAATAATAACTGCGAAATCGGTTTTCTTTTGAAGTTTAAAAGTGGTTTGCGGAATCGATACTGATTGAGAAATTCAAGCTAATTGCGTTCTGAAATTATGAATTTCATAGTAGTAACACATCTCCTATTCCTTAACGCATTAAATTTAGTACTTCATTTTGATTACAGAAAGCTTAACTAATCACTGATTTTTCTATAATTCTTGAAAATTGAAAGTATTACCCATTGGTAAAATGGGTTTTATTTTGGGTTTGATGGCGTGCGCACTTTATTTTATACGTCATCATACTTTTCAACTGTGTTCAAGAGGAATAGTAAACAGTGCGCATGCGTCGTCATTGCATGTGTTCCTATGGCAACCGCTGCTATTTGATAATTTTCCTAGAATTCTTTTTTTCATCTGCAGTCATCCTTAATGTATTTACATAATAATAATTTAAAGTATTTTTATATTCCTTTTATTATTAGCTTATAATTACTGTCTTGACGGTGATTTTTTAATATAAATATGAATACTGAAGAAGGAAAAGTATTTTGGGACGTCTTGAAACACGTATTTGAAAACCAATCCGACGACAAACATCAATTGAAGCAGTTTTGCAACCATGATTTGAAATATTGTGGCGTTTAATGGAGTCAAACCAGAGACAACAAGCAATGTGCTGGATGAAATGAAAAATTTCTTAATAAACAGTGAAACGGATTTTAACACCTTCCTTCTCGCTCCCGTGAAACTGACGGGGTGAGGTTTCGCCCTCTATTTCTCGCTCTCGTGAAATTACCGGGCTGGAGTGTTCAGTAGTAACGCGCCAATAAGAATAAAAACTAATTAATTTCTTTTGCCCGGAAAACATTTTATTTCTCATTTTACACACCAGATGGCAGTACCAGGATATTTTTAAGGTAACTGAAGATAATTAGTTTATTTTAAACTAGATGTCAGCACTGATCAAATACGTGTATTTGACAAAATAGGCACTTTTATGACCGTTTTCTTGAAAATTAACAGATCGTTAAGGGGTTAAAGAAAGAATTAAGTGCTGTTCTTAACACATTTTATCCATTATATTTCCTTTATTTTTCTTCAATATATTTCCTTTCTTTTTTAAAGAAAAAAAAATATCAATAATATTGTTACGCGCTTAATTTCAGCAACAGTATATTATTTTCTATAAACTACAGTAAATTTATTTTTAATTTAGCCAGTTATCTTAAGTTACGCTGCTGTTTCACTCCTCCCCCCTCTTTCATTTTTAACTTTCTTCCTGAATTAAGCAAGAGATCTTATCACACAGTTGCATCATTGATTATGAACACTTTTCTTCTTCGATATGACTGTTTTGTGTGTGGGTATGTATGATCAAATTTTATGGATGATGTTTTGCTATCGATTCACGAACTAGGATTAAAAGAAATCACTTCTATAGTTTCCGGTTTGAAGAAAAACACAAATGTCTTTGTCGAAATAAGCGCTTGAAAAATCCGTTCCTTTTCAAATAGGAGGCATAATCCGCATAGATGATTCATTGAACCTAAAGAAAAAATAAAATAATTTGCGTTCAAAAGCAATTTTTAAATAATATGATTAACATTTTAATTGAGTTAAAAACAGCAAAGAAAAATAAAATTCAGATTGCATTGAGCAAAAAATTAAAATAGTTTTTGTCCTTTAAATGAAACTATGTAATAGTGTATACCAAAACGTGCTTTATTTATATATCGAAACCAAAATTATCCATCACATTAGTTCACTCAGTATTAAAGAACATTGAGACAAAATTACTTTTTTGGACAAGGCGTTTAAAAATCAAAATTCCAAGTCGACAATGTTGTCTACATTTCCGGGAAAATTCGTTTCTTCTCTAGAAAATATCCAGGTAGAGAAATGTCCATAAAATATTTGGATCTTTAGAATTTTTGCCTGGTTAAGATGTTTACCGTTATAACTTCATGACTTAACCAGTTACGTTTGTTCTTTTCATATTCTATTGAAAACAAGAAAAATATTAAAAATTTATCAAAATTAATAATTTGATTTTCAGCGTTGTGCTCACGTTGTTAATTTTTTTTTTAGCTGCAGGCACTGAACGTATCGTTTTTCGCCATGAAAGAGCCGGAATTGTAGCTCATTTTGCGTTGTCTGGTGCGCACGCAGCGACCAAAGTCACAGAGGCGAGTTACGTTACCCTCGCTACATTGCCACAGATACCCGTTTATAGGGTGGGCCACTTTCACACATCTCACCTAACAGAGTGAAACATCCATGCCTTGAGTGGGACTCGAACCAGCAGCCATTGACTTCGCGTTTAGGCACGCTAACCGCTCAGCCACCCGGCCAGCAAAAATTAATGATTAAATGCGAACGCGTCATCAAAAACATAGTATTTAATACACTTTTTTTTTCTTTTTTGAAAATAAGAAAGTGTAATTTCCGGTAAGTGCTATTTGCTGTCTTAACTTCAAACGAGATTTGCCGGGGAGATGTCATCGATTGAATATAGAAGACACATCATGGTCAAAAATCCCTTAAAAGACAACAGATTCATTGCGTTTGAAAACGAGAGATATTTTAGGCTCTTAAAAGCAACCTGCTCTTTTAAATAAAAAGCAGTAGAGAATGTCACATTTAAAAGCAGAAGAGAATGTCACATTTAAAAGCAGTAGAGAATGTCACATTTAAAAGCAGTAGAGAATGTCACATTCCACCAAGGCTTACGATAAAGAGTAGGTAAAGTGAAGGTTTTTGTTTAGTTTTCCTCAGCATAATGATATTAGTCAAGTTGCTAAACTTCAAATCATTATTTCCAAGTTTAAACTCACGTGCGGATATGAATTTGAGATCGGTAGAACATTTATAAGCAGCATTCAATTCATATTTTCAACTTCAAGTAAAAATATACTTACTACACAAAATATAATCGAAACCATACTGAATTCTTTTAAGGATACTAAACAGAAAAGTACAGAAAAGGAGAATTTGCGAACATTGCTGCTTTGGTATGGAGTTCTTAGTCGTTTCGTCTAACTTCAACTTTTTCATTGTAGAAGCTAGAAGAATAAATGCTAACACTTAAAAAAAGGTGAAAATTATGACCAAATTAAATGAAAAAAATTAAACTGTAAACAAGAAAAAAGAGTTAGTAATGAAAATTTTTTAATTTTTTATATTAAAAATTTCTCCGTCATAGACAACATGAGCTGTTTCCAACTTGATCAAAACTTTTATCGAATCAACTAATGAAATTCAACTAATGAAAGAAATTAATTGCTTTAAAAACTGTGTAAGCTTAGAAATTAAACCAGCTGTCTCAGATCTCTCTTGGGAAAAAAAACCATCTGGTTCATATTAAAAATAGCGCAAATAAAAAGGAAACAAGGATAAAATTAAAAAGTAACATAAAAACCCTTCATTGCGCTTAATGATAGAACATGTAGGTACAACAGTTTTTTTTCTTCCTTTTTTTATTTCCTTCCTTTTTTTAAAAAATAGCTACATATTGGGTAAAAAGCACTATTTTAAGTAAAGGAAGAAATATCCATGCGAATCTTAAAAATGTTCTTGAATCAGATTAAATAAGTCTTCTACTGGCGGCAGAGTCAGCCAATCTGGTATACTTCTCATATAAGCTATCATCGAAGCTAAACCTCCCTGAAACGTGCATTTCTTGTCTCTATAGCAGCAGACGGCCTCAGATTTTGTGGTGGTGGTGGTGGGGGAGGTTCTTACAATAGACAAACTCTCTAAAAGTTTTGTCTTCATGCTATAGAAGAACGTTATTTATTTAATTCATGAAAGAAAACTCATCATAGTTCTCTTACGTTCCGTTACTTAGCATTATTTTTCAAAGTTTGCAAAATGCAGGGTCATCGACCAACCAGAATAAAAAAGTTATTTCATAATTTCTTACGTGTTTTGTTACATATTTTAATACTAAATAGCCATTATTTTACTTCATATTATAACCGTTGTTGAACAGCAGACCCAATTTTTGGGTTTACGACTACAAATGTTCACCTACGTGGCCTTGTAATTTTGAACCCAATGCAGAAGATGAGGGAACTCCTGGTTCAAGTATTGGGAGAAATTGTACCTTCGCGGAGGACTTTTTGATGGGACTAACCCACATTTGCGTTACATGGAGAAGAAGACCACGAGAATTTCCCATGGTTAGCCTGACGGCAAGAGGACTCTAACCCAGGATCCGTCTACAACTGACAATATTTCCCGCTAGCACTGTGTTCGAGGCAAGCCGAAAACGGAATTCGTATCGACCAGGCATCGCCGGGCTTTGACCCCGGTTCAACTCATTGAACGGCGAACGCTTTATCCCCTGAGCCATCGCGGCTCAAGTAGCCTTTATTAAAATTATGTACTGAATTTTTAAATAAATTATGTAATCATCTGATGAAGGTGGTCGCAAAACATTACAAAAACTGTTAATACCAGCACCAATTAGCTTACACCTTTTAAAATTCCTAGAGTCGAACTGCCCACTATCATATGAAATTATTAAATATATTCATTGGAAATTTATAGCCGCTATAACGAGTTGCCAAACTGCTCGTTGAGCATAAATATTTATACAAACTGCCCAGCGCCCTGGCAAAACTGAAATATTAAACTTGAAAGTTAACAACTGAAGATATTAAACTTTTCAAGTACAGCAGTGAGTTTCCGAATATCCTCTTATGGAATTTCGTTCATATTTCAAGGAAGATGTAGAAACAATAGCAGCAGAATTCGACTATTAAAATCCTTAAAACCTAGGATACTTTTTTGCATATTAACCTATAGCCAACAGTAAAAATTGTTTTTCGAAGCCGAGAGAGTTAAAATTGTTTTTCGTAGTCGAGGAAAATAGAAAAAAAAACACACACACACACATTTTAAATGCTTTAAATTTTTAAAAATTCCTATTTGGTGACATTTTTCCATCTAAATGAAAACTATCAAAACCACTGCCTTATTTTCAGTTTTTTCAAATTTGTATGAGCCCAGAAAATACAGCATTGGGGAAGTTTTTAAATATTGAAAAATTAGACCACAAACGTTTTTCATTTTCCCAAAACTGTGGTTTTTCTCTATGATGTTTTGCGCCATTTTCAAAATAAGCATTGACATCAATGGCTTTCGATAGGCTAATCTTGACCTAACAGTCACGAGTATCTGTTGCAACGTCATAGCAGTTATAAAAATAGCATATTATTCGCAAAAAGCATCATTTCATATAACGAGGGAGCCTTCGAACAATAGCCTCAGGCCACGTGACGTTATTTCAATCGACGGCTGCAGATGCTTTGATCTACAAACGTTACTAACCAAATTCTTATCATATATTCGGTTCTGGTATTTTTGTTTACACCTGTTGGGGACGGTCTGTCACTTGGAGGTTGCACTTCATAGCTTGAAATTTGCATTTCTTTGAAGTTTAGTGTTAATCTTCAATGTTTACTTTTGTATAAATAATAATGGCGTCGACTGAGTGCAAACCTGAAAGTTCTGTAAATAGCCCTGTTACTTTTTTTTTCTTTTCTACCAGACGTTTCTTCCGACAGGTTTACAAAACCCTTAACCGTATAGTCCACGCCTGGCCACAGGTCTAGCTCACATAATACATAGGTGCATCACATTAGTTTTTAAAAAAAACCGAATANATAATAATGGCGTCGACTGAATGCAAACCTGTAAATAGCCCTGTTACTCATGCCCCTATTACTATTGTATTTTCTATCATTTAATCCTATTATTTTAATTATTTACCTCATATTTAATGTGTTATCGTTCATGGCCATCTTAATTATAATAGTTAGTTTTTGGTGTGCTTCCTATACATTATTACATCGTGCCTGTGATCATCAATATATGCATTGTTCACAGTGAGTGGATGTCCAAATAATGTCAAATGCCTTTAGATTCCAATAAAGGAATCTCTGCAGTTTTGTCGCAGTGTTATTACTTTGCAGCCTATATTCTTTCTCCCTGTGGGGAGCGACGAGCTATCTCATAGTTGGAATATCATAATATCCACAGTTACAATGTAAGAAATGGCCTTGTGGAGACAATGAGGCGCGTTACAACCAATGAACAGTTATAGGGCCGGTATAGCCACATTGGTAGGGCACTGGGCTCATGTCCAAGAGGTCGTGGGTTCAATATGGTCTCCATAGCTTGGTCAGGAGAAATAACCAACGTTTGGACCCCTTATAGTTAAATAAAATTTTTGCACATATCGCTATATATCGAGAACTTTTTCAGTAAATCTTTATTATTTTTTATTCTTTTAATTAAGAATGGTCGTAAAAATTTTAAAATGTAAGGTTATACACTTTTTTGTGTCATTTTTAAATGTATATAATTTTACACGGCAAAATTCAAAATTTGAGTCGAAATTGAGATGAGAAAAAAGCGGGTGAACAGTTCTTGAGAAAATTAATTTTAAGAAGTCAGATATTTAAAATTCGAATCCTCAGAAACTATTTAACATATTTCACACAAAATTTGTATTTTGCTATGCAAAATTACATACTTTAAAATTATGTAAGAAACTGAAAACCTTAAAATTCAAAATGTGTTCGACTATTATTTAATAAAATAATAAAAAATAATAAGTATTTGCTAAAAATTATTTTTTCATCATAGAATTATCTTTGAATACATGAATCTTACAACTATGTGCAGAAAATTTACCATTTGGAATATAAGTCCCCGAGACATAGTGAAGTATTCTACAAATAAATCGCTCTCAAAAATCCAAATCCGTTGACAAAAGGTATTTTTATTCAGAAAAAGCTCGTTTATGTGTCAGATTTCGTAACTTAAATATCTTTTACACTGATTCATCATCGTATTTGAGGTTACTCCCTTGAACCATTAAGAATGAGTCCCAGGAAGTCGAGCTCCGATCATTAGATCAAAAGTTACTCAGAGGGTGGTCCGTATTTTTGATTTTTTTTGGTGCACTATATATCGCTGGTTCAAAACTAAAACGACACTTCTGCACTCACTTCTCATTCAAATAACATAAGAAGTGAGTGCAGAAGTGTCGTTTTAATTTTGAACCAGCGATATGTACAATCACCTCATGATCCTTGATCCTAATTATATGCATGCCTTAACTCATTTCACATTTCATATAAGTTTGATTTGTTTTGGATAATTCCTCGGAGTATACATAAATATAT